CACATACAACATATCTTGAACACACACACTCACACACAACATACCTTAAACACACACTCACACACAACATACCTTAAACACACACAACATACCTTAAACACACTCAACATACCTTAAACACACACACAACACACAACATACCTTAAACACACACAACATACCTTAAACACACACACTCACACACAACATACCTTAAACACACTCACATACAACATGCCTTAAACACACACACACTCACACAACATACCTTAAACACACACACACTCACACAACATACCTTAAACACACACACAACATACCTTAAACACACACACAACACACAACACACCTTAAACACACACACTCACACAACATACCTTAAACACACACACACACACACACACACTCACACACAACATACCTTAAACACACACACTCACACACAACATACCTTAAACACACATACACTCACACACAACACACCTTAATAGCTTTGTGAGTGATAATGAATTTACTCTTTACTGTCACACTTTATAGTTTAGATTAGCTTGATGTAGGAAATTTTAAAACCTTCTAGTGCTGACTCTTGTAATACTAGAAAATTACTGTTTATATTAAAGTATAAACTTGAGATTTCAATATGAAGATGTTTTTATGGTTTAATTTCTTTGCCAGATCTTGAAACAAGTATATATGGATTTTAGTAGTACTTAAATATATTACTTTATTTCCTAATTCCATTGATACAATTCTAAATTATAAGAAAGCTATTGATATTGACAGTCATGGTAGTTAGTGATAGCGTTGTATAGGTATTTTCTTGACTTAAAACTTGTGTTAAGCAAAATAGCCAAGACTCAAAGACAAGAGTTGCATGTTTTCTTCTGTATGTGAGATCTGAACAAAACTCAAGAGACAGTGTGAGAGTGGAAGCAAACAATAGGAAGTAAAGAGAACGCAGGAACCGTTAAGAGGGGTGGGGTGGATATGCTCTCCATATGTTAGAGCAATGTGAAGCACAACAAAGCCTGTGCTTCGCTGTGCACTAACGTGCACAGAGTGAATGATAAACCTGAGGACAGACCTGTTGCCAACAAAAGGACATTATTTCAATTAGTTTATAGTACAGAATCACCTTCTCTTCAGTGTATTTTATGGACCTTGTTTGAAACTTTAAAATTGCATATTACCTGGTGTTGGTGACGCACACCTTTAATCCCAGTTCTTAGGAGGCAGAGGCAGGTGGATCTCTGTGAGTTTGAGGCCAGCCTGATCTACAGAGCTAGTTCCAGGACAGCCATGGCAGCTACACAGAGAAACCCTGTCTTGAGAAACTGAAAAATGAATGAATGAATGAATGAATGAATGAAATTGCATATTAATGTTCTAAGGTTTGGCATATTTTATTTTAGATTGGACATACTTTTATAATACATACTTTCTCCTATTATAATTTTTAAAATGCTTATTGTTTAAAAGGCACTTATTAAAGAAAAGATTGCATTAAAATCCTGGCAAACTTTTATGTTTAAATTAACTTTTCCAGTGCTTGTTTCTCAAAGAGACAGTATGCTTTAGGTTAAGAGGATTAAATTAAATCAATGCTGGCTTCATTTATTTTCTTGCTTATAAACTATGTTCTTCTAGGAAGGTGCTGGATGGATGCCTTGGAGCTGGCTTTGAAATGTTCTAGTCTTCTTAAACGCACAATGATCAGGGAAGGAAAGGAACATGACCTCAGCATTTCATCAGATAACACACATGTGACCCTGTATGGTTTACTGCGTGCGAACAATCTCCACAGTGGCGACAACTTCCAGTAAGTAGCTGTTGCTGCCAATTTGGTGATGCTTTTGGAGATTGTCCTTTCCACTAAATCGGTTGTCATTTCTACTACCTCAGTGATGTGTATAGTGTTGACATTTGCCCGTCTTATTATATGGCTTATGGATCAGAGATTTATTTAGTCACTGTGCACTATTCTTTTTTCCAGGTACAGCGAACTTGTCTTTGTGCATAGTGTACCTTCCATTAAGAATGGTTTCTATTTCTTGCTGTCTCCTTCTCCCATACTTCTGTTTCAAGATCAGTTTGAATACTGTATTCCATATGAAGTTTTCTTGCCTCAAACCAATGAGAAACATCTTCTCTTCCATTGTTCTTTTCTTAGCATGCTTTGTAATGGCCCTGGATTGTGCCTGCCATTTGTAAAGCATTTTTATGTTTATTGTCTTATGTGTGTGGGTGTTTTACCTGTATATATGTCTGTGCACCACATTTCTGCAGTACCTACAGAGGCCAGAAGAGGGTGCCATGTCTCCTGGGACAGGCGGTACAGATGATGTTAATGCTGGGAATTGAATCTGGATCCTCTGGAAGAGGAGCCGGTTCTCTTGACCACTGAGTTGTCTCTCCAGTTCCTGTAAACACATTTTTTTTTTAGTAGAAACTGTGTCTGATTTGTGTTTTTTTTTCTCCTGAGCATTTGTTGTAGCTAATACTAACATAAAATTTCTCTGGCAAAACTGGGATGCAGTGCACAGATAATTTTCAGATGCTGGTATCTTTTTATTGCTTTGAATTAAAAAAAAAAACACCGTTCCCTCTTTTAAATCTTCACTTTGGGGCTATAGGCTTATTTCCTTTAGGTGAAATTGCCATTCCCATTGTTCCTGCAGTTTTCCCCCTCACAATTAAACCGATCAGATAAATGTTAAATATATCTCAAAGCACGTTTCCGTCTTACTCGAAGAGGTTATTTTGGGTGATCCTGGAGGTCTTTTCAGTGGAAAGTCATAATTTGCCGAGGTGAGAACCTGATGGTCTTACTGTTCTCTTCAGCCAGATGTGGTGGTGTTCCTGCTTCCAGTGAGAGCATTTGTAAAACAGTAGGGCGGTGGACCTGGTAAGAAGTAGTCTTCATTCTGTTGTGAGAACATTTGAGCCCCAAGATAGAGAGACAAACGCTCAGTTTGTCATCTCTCATTGCAGACTTCTGTTTAATTTCTTTGGGCCTTTTCTCACTGATTATGAAATAACAATATTGCTGATAGGATGATCCCAAAGACGAAGTCAGCTTAACCAAGTAAAGCATCTAGTAAATCTACAGTAATGCTGCATGTTAGTCCAATCTGTGGATTTGTATTCTCAGTCTCCTTGTTTTTCATGTAATTATTCCATTAAGGTTGAATGATAGTGAAATTGAAAGGCAGCACTTTAAGGACCAAGATATGTATTCTGATAAATCTGACAAAGAAAACGATCAGGAACATGACGAATCTGACAATGAGGTGATGGGGAAAAGTGAGGAAAGCGATACAGACACATCAGAAAGGCAAGATGACTCTTACATTGAGCCTGAGCCCGTTGAGCCTCTGAAGGAGACCACCTACATGGAGCAGAGCCACGAAGAGCTCGGCGAGGTGAGCCTCCTGGTGCCAGATTCTGGCTTACAGCTCTAGGAAATTTCCACACGAATTATAGATATGTTTTGCCTGCCTTATTGTTTTCCCCAAAGAATATCTATATGCCACCTGTTTCTTCAAAGGTGTATTGTGAAATTTACTTACATTTTTAAGCATCCAAAACATACTTGAATGCCAGTGTGGTCTGCTAAACTTTAAGTTTACATTTTCAAGTTTGTTTTTGGAATAGAATATTACTTGGTGTCATTACCAGGTGTAAAAGTAATTTGTAAATAGTATAAATTTAAAACTTGCTTGTTATTACCAGTGCATAGAAGTAAATGTATATAAAACAATAAACTACTAAGCTGGATTTGGTGGCACATGCCTGTAATCTTGGCATTTGGAAGAAAGAAGCAGGAAGTCTGCAAGTTTCAACGCAGTCTGGGCTACCTTTCTCAGTAGAAAATAAATTTAATTGAACAAAAAAATGTAGAATTTGATTCTTTTGTGTATGCTGTTATTTTGATATTCCTTGTAGCTCTCCTTTCGCTTTTATAGCCTAGACTTTGTTAGCTAAATGGTTGTTTGCTCATTCCCATAATGCTTGGAATAGTCCTAAAGAGTCATGTTTTTATCATCTACTGTGTCTAAGATAACTAAGATCTTTCAGTGTCCTGTGTTATAATTGTTAAAGGCAGGTGAGGCTTCTCAAACGGAAACTGTGTCTGAAGAAAACAAAAGCCTTATCTGGACTCTGCTCAAACAAGTTCGTCCCGGCATGGACCTGTCCAGGGTGGTTCTTCCTACGTTTATTCTGGAGCCCCGGTCTTTCCTGGATAAACTTTCAGATTACTACTATCATGCAGATTTCCTGTCTGAGTAAGTAGAGTCTTCTAGAAATGGTTTTAGAGTATCTCAAGAATGTAATGGAAAGCCAGGCATGGTGGCCTGCACTTATAATCTCAGTAGGGAGGTGGGAAAAGGTGGATTCCTGGGGTTTAGCAAGGCCAGTGAGAGACTTTGCCTCAATAAACCAGGTAGGTACCCTGAGCAATTTTGTGCTCACCCTTCCATATTTCACCTGCTGCCACATCTGCGGAGTCTGTGGCAATGTTGTCCGTGCTACTGATGCTGGCCCAGCTGTTTGGACTTAGGAATCTACACCAGTATCTGCTGTTCATATCTGTTTTCAGATGTAGTTTTTAATTACATTAGTGAACATTGAAAGCATAAGCTGAATCAAGAAATGATTGGTATATCACAGAAAAACTTTGCAAATTATGTAGTAGATAAAAGTAGTAATTCTCCTAAGATAAAAAGAGCTATTAGTACCAGCATGGTGGTGCACATTTGTGATCCTAGCTATCGAGGGCGAGGCAAGAGACCTGCGTGAGCTCGAGGCCAGTCAGGACTGTGTATTGCAAGACTGATTTGTCCCGCTCCCTCCAGTAAAAAGAACTCCCAGCTAGCAACAGAGTGAAGATATCCAGTAGCCTATAGGAAAAGAAATGGGAAAAGTGAAACCGAAACAGTTCCTAATCGTGAACCTCATGTAGTCTAGTTCAAATGACACATCGAGACAGAGCTTTTGCACTCATTCTGCTCCCTCTGTGGGTCACATTTCATTTCTTAAGTAAATGATAGGAATCAGAGTCATCCCGACAATTCACATGCAGTAAATCTAAACTTGTCACAGAGCAAGGGAGGAGCGCTTTCTCTCAATCAGCTTCCTAATTGGTGGCAGCTGCAAAAAAAGAATCAGTCTTGTTATTTTTTTTCAAGATTTATTATGTAAACAGTGTTGTGCCTCCATGTATGCTGCAGGCCAGAAGAGGGCACCAGATCTATTACAGACGGTTGTGAGCCACCATGTGGTTGCTGGGAATTGAACTCAGGACCTCTGGAAGAGCAATCAGTGCTCTTAACCTCTGAGCCATCTCTCCAGCCCTTATTGTCTTTTCTATAGAAGTAGCCTTATAAAACTAAACTACTAAGGAGTATAAGAAAAATAAATTCTGTGCTATATCCTATACTTCTAAGTATGTAAAACATTTTAAGGTAACGTTTTGTGGTTAGCAATTATAAAAGCCAGGCTTTCTCAGACTCAGAGACTGTCTGTCCACAGGTAGATTACTGCACATCTCTTAGTGGCTGCGCAAACTGGCACTTCTCGAGACACAGTGCTTTAAATCTCAGAATGTACTTTCTGCACTGTGTATAACCACTGACCATAAAGAAGGAAACTTGTAACTCTTTCTTGGGGCTTTGAAATCAGATTATTTTTTGTATCCCTGGCCAGTTAGAGAATCTTCCTTTGTGGTGTATCTGAACAAAAGCCATAAACCTGAGGTTAGGAATTGGTCCTGAGAGTTAATCACTGTGCTGGGTTATCAGCCAGACCAAGCAGAGAGACTGGCATAGCAATTAGGTTGCTTTGCACTTTTTACCTTAGTTCAGCAGATCAACAGCTTGTTATATGTCCTTGGGCTGTTTTATCTGGGAATAGTTTATCTTTAAAACCCATTAGCAAGGCTTCTAAAGCTACTTTGAAGTTTTAAATCAGCTAATAGTGTACAACTATCTGTCAGCTGGGGAAATACAGCCGTTTTCTTAATGTAGGCTAAGCTATGATCCAAGGCTCTTGGGGAAATCTTGTAACCCCTGACTTGAATAGCATTTCTTTGTGTTCATTTTTATTCATCAAAACTCTGTATAAGCTAGCATTATTATTAGGGTTAGACAATACAGCTAAGGAGGGGTCGCCTTCTTGAAAATCCACAGATGTATTCATGGGATTACATGCTAGTGTGGACTCTCCCCACATCCACTCACACCATGCCAGCTATCAGAGAGACGTTGCAGGAGCAAACATGTAAAGGGACAGCAGACGCAAAAGACATTTCAGGGTCTCTAGTCATAACCTTGCTTAAATGAGATTCTTCCATCAGGGAGTTTCTTCGGGTGGTTGACACCTTGAATATTAATTGCCATCTGCTGTTTTATGGTAATGGTTTCTGGCAAGCCACCAAGGTACAAAAAAATAGAAGTTACTACATTGTTTTTATAAAGTGGGACTGTTTATATTTGTTCATTTACGCTTGAAGAAAACACTGAAAGAAAGAATTGTCTATTTTTATTTTTTAATATTATTTTTTAAAATTCTCTATGTTGTGTGTGCATGCAGGCACATATGAGTGCACATGAGTGTAGGTACCTATGGAGGTCAGAAGATGGCCTCTCGAGCTGTAGTTACAGGGGGTTGTGAGCCTTTTGACTTGGGTACAGGGACCCAACTGAGGTCCTTTGCAAGGACAGCCCATGTATTTAACCACGAGTTCTCTCCTAAAAGAGTCTTTTTTAAAACAAGCCTGCATTAGTTAGTTTTCTGTTGCTATGACAAAATACCAAGAAAAGTTACTGAGAGAAGCGTTATAATGGAGTCCATCATGACATGGAGGGGAGCAGGCACTGCGGCAGGAGCAGGAGGCAGAGAAGGCAGAAGTGGGAAGAGGCGATGTACTCTTCAAAGCCCACCCCCAGTGATGTACATCCTCCAGCAAAGCCACACCTCCTAAACTTTCCCAAGCTCTACCTACAAGTAGGGACCAAGCATCCAAATGCAACCTTTCTAGTTGTCAATAAACCGGGGTCTAGCCTCTGTCACCTTGCACCTTATCTTCAAAAATCAGATTCCACTGTCAGATGCACTTGTAAAAGAGAATGGCTTTTTATAACTAGCAGCATTACAAACAAAAGTGCAAACAGCTTGTCAGTAAACGTCATTGTGAACATTCACAGTCACTACTTTGTAGCAGTTGCAGTAGTAGTCAAAAGGTCAGGGAGAGGGGGAAGCTGAGTCATGGCTCCTCCAGATTTCTTCTATAGATTACATGTTACACTGGTAGTTGATTCAGGTGGAAAATGGCCTGGTAACACAACACACAGGAAGAGTGACGGGCTATGATTGGCAAGCCCTGTTGGCTGAAGTTGTAACACGTAAGGGTGAGGGACTGCTGGGAAAACACAGCTAATTGAAATGATCTTAGCTCTTCTTTCTTCTTTCACTCTTGTGACACGAAACCTCAGCCTTGTAGCCGGGACACAAACCCACACAGTCCTTGATCCGAAAGGCTAGCATCAGCCCCGTTCTCTCTTCTGTGTACATCAACTGTTCTGATTAGATGCAACCAGGAAACAGGACTGAGGCTCCTTCGCTGGCAAGTGGTACTGAGGCCCTTTAATTAATGTTGACTGGGCTTCACGGCACCACACAAGGCATGAATCTCAAACGTCCATGTTTATTTTTATGGAAGAGCTAGGGTTAAACAACCCTAGTTTTGTCTTTTGGTTTATGGTTCTTGTGGGAATCCAGAATCTTAGGGAGGCAATGGCAGCAGGTGGCCTGAGCAGGAAGTTGAGAGATTTCATCTCCAACCAACTCGGAAAGCAGAGAGTGTTTGCTTTTTACTCCCAGTTATTCGTAGAGCTTCTTGTTAATCCTGGATCTCCTGAGCTCCTTGTTAATCCTGGGTCTCCTGAGCTCCATTTCGGACACTTTGCTTTGGAACTTCCAAAACTATTTAGCAATGTCCCAGGTAGTATATGAAAGAATCAGAAAACTGGGATAAGGTAACCAGATTAAAAAAGAAAAAAATGATTCTTTAAAGACATATTTTTAATGTTTTTTTTTTAAAAAAATTGTGTGTGTGTGTTTGTTGGGGGCGTGGGTATATGCACATGCATGCAGACGGCCCACAGAGGCCGAGGAGGAGGCTGTAGTGGGAGTTGCTGTCAGCTGTGAGCCATTGGACAGGGCACTGGGAAAGGACCTCTGGTTTCCTATAGAAGAGGAAGCAGTTTTAACCTCTGAGCCATCCCTCCAGCAGCAAGGAAAGGCTTTCTAGAAGTAAATTCACATGACTGTTTTATTATTTATTTAAGCATAAATTAGGTTTCCAGCTGTAAATCATAGTAAGTAAGAAAGAGAATTTGTGATTGCACAAAATGGTTATATTTACCATTTTGTTTTTTAGGGCTGCTCTCGAAGAAAATCCATATTTCCGTTTGAAGAAAGTTGTAAAATGGTATTTGTCAGGGTTCTATAAAAAGCCAAAGGTAATGTTTATGTTTTTGCTTCTTTTTTTTCCTCCTTTTTATGTTTATATATTTGTATGGGTATTTGGGTGCCATGGTGCACATGTGGAGGTCAATCTATCCTTACATCTTGTGAGTCTTGGGGATCAAACAAGTCGCCAGGCCTGGAGACAGGAGCCTTCACCTGCTGTGGTGTCTCACTGCCCGAGCACGCAGAAAACCCAGCTGCATTCTGCAGGGCGTCTGAACAGTTCATGGTTGTGATCATTTATTTCCTTAGTCATTATAATAGATAGGTGTTCCGTAAGTCACACAATAAAGAGCATCCGTGTGGGAGCTATAGCTGTCGGGGTGTACTGGGGACCAGCCCAGTCAACCTCTCAGGGTCAGGAGGGAATGCCACAGCTAGTGGGCCTATCCTAAGGGGTCCCAGGGAAAAGGAGTGTGTCGGCTCCCAGAGGTCTCCTCGTGTCTCTTTTTCTTCCCGTGTTCTCTCGATCCCACGGGTTTCCCAGTTTATATAGCACACAGGCACAGTCAGCAATTCTCTGGCGATAGGAAGGAGACCAGACATGCATTGTTCAGGGCCCAGTTGATGGACAAGGCTGACAAGAGGGCGACTGTTGTCTTATTTATGTCTTGAGGGGCGTGCCTGTGAAGGGTAAAGAGAGGAAGGGGCTGTGGTTTCTAAGAGGGGGGAAAGGAGTTTGCCTGTTAACTACATCTGTGTGGTTAGTTAAGCTAGAAGTCTGGAATTGGTAAGTAGAAAAAAAGAGGAAGAAAACATGGCAGTGCTGTGCACTCTCCAAGTCCTCCCCCTCCTTCTGCTGAGGCTGGGAGGAAAATGGCACTTGATCCACATTAGTATTTCCACTGAATCTTAGCTGATTAAAGGGAACCTCTCAGCACTGGAGCGAAGTGAAAAACTGTGGCTGTGTAGTGTAAACCCCAGGCTGCCGCTTCCAGCCCTGGGTAAGGTGGGAAGGAATTCCTTTCTTTGGAACTGGTTGAGTGAGCCAAAGCTTTCTCCTGTAACTCTAGGGGTAAAGGCACAGTTAATTTCCTAGACTAAGATCTTGTAACTGAGGTGAAGGGAAGTACAGAACACTAATAGCTTGTTAGGGTAGAGCAGGGGCCATTGGGTTGTGCTCTCCTAAGGCAGTTAGAGAAATCAGGGTGCCCAGCCCTCCTCCTTGGTGCCTGTCTTTGAGGCTCCGAGTGTGATCTGTTTGCAAGGCTCCTCTCCTTGTTGGATGTCCTGCCTTAGAAAAGAATTATGGGGGTAGCTGTATGTGGATTTGACTGTGAGAACAAAGGTTTCTTTGAGTGAATACTTTCATACCAGGGTCCCACAGTATGGGGAAAAGTCATCCAGTTACCAGTACAAGGGTGCTATGCCCAATAATTAATACACTGTGAAACTTTTTTGGGGGACGAATCCTGCTATGGAAAGGGGAGCACTATAGCTTCACAGGAGTTACAGAAATGACAGTGACTATTCAAGAGGCAGTTATCCCCAAAGCTCTGCAAACTGGGTGTCCTCTACTGGATTGTGTGACCCCCATGGATAGCCTAGTGATTTTGTCAGCTGCATTCTCTCTGTGTAATTCTGTGGACCACAGCAACAGCCAAGATAGCCTTTCTGTGTTCTAGTTTATCTCCTCTACTCCACGGAGAGCAGTCAGAAAGCAAGAGTGAGAAACGCGCTTGAAGGAGCAGTGGCGGGAAGATGATGAGACTAGGATAAAGTGCTTTAGCCTACAACGATGGAACAGCCGTGGAGGGCGGCTTCCACCAATGAAAACACCACCACTAACTTAGTGATAGGGCAGTCTCTGTGTCCACGGAGAAGTGTGGTATTAACAAAAGGGTTTCACCCTCCTTCACTTACGGGAATCCATGCATTTGCATTGTGCTGGTCAAGCAGTGAGAATTATTACACAGTAGAATTTCGTGGAAAGAACCTCAAAACAGAAATTTTGAAAATTTAGTTTTTATTTCCAAGAATACTATGAACTGTATGTCTGAACCTGGAAAATCACTTAAGTTTAGGCATATTTCAAAAAATCTAGAATATGGAGATGTTGTCATACAAATACTTTATTATCTGGCATTTCTAATACTGGCTAAATACAAAAAAAGAGATGGAATCTTTATATTCAAAAGATATTTGCACTCCATGTTCATTACTGCACTAATTGCAGTAACCAAAGTATAGACGAAACTGCAGCAGATACATGAATAGAGACGGTAAAGTGGTCAGGTTAAGTTGTGGGTTTTTTAAGCAACTGTTGCTCTCTTGAGGCAACATTTTACAAGAATGTTCTGCATCTCTAGAGTTGCTTTCTTATTTTTTTTATTTTATTTATTACTCTGAGATATTCACAAATGTTTAATCTTATAATGTATTTTGGTAATTTTCACCCCATTAATTCTTGAGCTCTTTTTTGTTTTTGCTTTTTAATATGTTATGTTATCTTTAAGTTGTTTACTGACAGAAATTGAAAAATTTGTATTTAGACCATATCTTGAGTAAAGCTATATATTTTTATTTCATGTAAATTTCATTACTCCGAAGAATTATAAGGTGGTCTTCCAGACAATGCAATTTAACTTTAAACCTGTGTTTGTAATTTTTAACTTATAGGTTTTTTGTTGTTGTTTTTGTTTAACTAGGGACTGAAGAAACCATATAATCCTATACTTGGTGAGACTTTCCGTTGTTTATGGATTCATCCCAGAACAAACAGCAAAACGTTCTATATTGCTGAGCAGGTATGAGAAATGCTATCCTGGTAAATCACTGTTATTCAGCTTGTAAGGGAAGGCTTGCTAGGCACTGAAGATGGTGGTGGTGCTGCTGCTGCAGACCACATTGGTGCGCATGGCTGTCACAGCCATCATCAAGATGGCAGCCAGTTTGTCCTTACCCTTACTTTTGACTGGAGTGGGCACTTGCTTTCCATGGTTATCCCGTGGCTGTTGTGAGGAGAATTTCGTTCCTCAGCATGTGGCCCCTCCATACAGTTTTTACAGCACAAAACCTTGGTTACCCTGAACTTTAAGCACCTGTGTGTGCGTGTGCATGCAGGAGAGGGCTTGGGGAGGGAGAGGGTGTCCTAAAGGACATGGAAGCTATGCTATACTCTCAAGTTAGAAATGCTATATTATCATTCCCACACAAATGTTGTTGACTCACACCCTGCCTTGGGTGTGCATGCCAGGAGGTAGGCTTCCTTGGAGCCGGAGATCCAGGCTGTAATTACTAACATTATCATCGCTTCCCAGCTGTTACTTCTTACCCATTCTCAGATTTGAACTTTTGATGCTAGCATAATAGTATGTTTGTTTTCTTAGATGTATGACCTTTTCTGTGTTCAATAGGTGTCCCATCACCCACCAATATCCGCCTTTTATGTCAGTAACCGAAAGGATGGGTTTTGCCTTAGTGGTAGCATCCTGGCGAAGTCCAAGTTTTATGGTGAGTTTCCCCCTGTCCTAAACTGTGCTTTTCCAAAATGTATTTTCTGGTGAGTAAATAAATAAATTAATCTGTAAATAAATTAATCCTGTCATTTTGGCAAAGAATTCATGTCATTTAAGCATCATCTTTAATCCTGTCTCCTGTTTAACCTTACACATTTAGAAGTAAGGCGTGTTTTATCTAACTTCTAACATGCGTGTAAAAGCATCACTTGTGGGAACACACAGTGAGTGCCTATGTATCTCTCTCGTGCACAGTGGGTTTATGCTGTTTTTTAGATTTGTTTCCCTATACCTGAGGGAATTGATCTTTCTCTTTTAGTCTTTGAGTATAGAAAGATTCCAGCTTGGTCCTAGATCATTCAATAATAATATCTAACCTTTGGCCAAATAACATACTATTAAAAATTCAGAGAATTAAATTCAACTAAGGAATTTTAAACCTGAGAGAAAACAAATGTAAGGGTAAAATAGAAAAGATAAAATATGTAAACAGAAGTCTAAATTTTAATTACTTGAGAGGGGAGAGAGTCAGAAACTAGTCTGCGACAGGAAATCTAAAGTATAACAATTTTCCGTCAGGAATATGGTACGTGCCTTTATGTTTCTAAAGATGTTCTCCGTACTTAATTTTCTTTTGATTTGGATTGAATTTCTTTTTTTTTTCAAAAGTTCCATGTGTTCTGTATTGATATTACTTCTTTCCCCCTCTCGCTTCAGTCCCTACCCCAACCCCAGCTACAGTGTCATTGGCTTTAGTGGGTTTTTGTTTCACCCCATAGATATTTTCTACTGAGCCTCAGGAGCATGGCTTATGTTCAGGTAGTGCTTCTGCACTTTGATTTCTGTTTTCTTATGTGCTAACAGAACTTAGGTGCACCAGGGCTAGCTCTTGATAATCTGATATAATCCAGAGTTCACAAGGGTAATTTAAAGTTTAAAAAAGATCTCATTTATTTTTCTTTGAGTAAAGACATCTGAAGAGGTGGTGTATAACTGATGAAGTAGCATCTATCACATGGTATCTCTGATGTCGGAAAAGTTGATGTAGAGATAGGGGCAAGTCATGGTTGTGCATAAATATTTGCAGACTTTTGAAAATACTGTGAAGATTGGGAATATGAATCAAGAGGTGTTTTAGTTATGAGGGGATGAATATGTCTTTTCACACATGCATTAAGATGGAGATATTTTAAATATTTCTCCTGGAGGAATGTAGATGTCCCAAATAATATGCTTTGTTTTGAATTGGTTGGATTAGCTTTGTGAAATGTAACAATCTTTTTTTAGGAAACTCGCTGTCCGCGATATTAGAAGGAGAAGCACGGCTAACTTTCCTGAACAGAGGTGAAGATTATGTGATGACGATGCCGTATGCTCATTGTAAAGGTAAGTGTTTTCCATACCTATATCAGGTGTTTCTTGACTTTTTGTTTTGTTTTTGTTGTAAATAAATGTATGTGAATGGCATTTCTTTTGTTTGGGATAGACATGTTTGTTTGAAAACCTTGGTCCACAATTACTTGAGAGTATGGCTGTTTGCGGACTATTTCTGTGGTGAATTCATTCACACATAATAGTCGTATCTATTTTTGTGATATATCCATTGTAAGAAATTTAGTTGTGATAATGGGATTTCCTTGCGTTTATCTCCTGTGTAAGTTTTGTATTTAATTGAATCTGCCTTTTTCAGAACCCTTGGAAGCCACTTTATGCACTCTTGCGTTAACACCCTATATAAAGTTTAATCTGCTATTCTTTTTTAATGATTTATGTTTGTCCCTATTCATTGGTGTTTTGTGTGCATGTATGCCTGTGTGAGAGTGGCCTGTGTGAGGGGTCAGAAGCCCTGGAACTGGAGTTACAGGCAGTTGTGAGCGACCATGTGGGTGCTGGGAATTGAACCTGGGTCCTCTAGAAGAGCTGTCATTACTGTTAACCGCAAAGCCATCTCTCCAGCTCCGTCTGCTATTTTTCAATGCATCAAGTTCTTTAAATGTTTTTCTTCACTCTGGTTTGACAATTTCTTTTCCTTAATTTGGATTTCGGTGAGTTATAACCTTGCAGTATAGCTCGGGCTGCCATTGAACGCAGGATCCTCCTGCCTCAGTCTCCCTAGTGTTGAGGTCACTGTTGTGACACCTAGCTTTTATTTGGCAAAAGCTAGATAATACTCTGAGTTTTGTATATAGTTCTTAAAATAGGAATGAAGTGCAATGCATACCATTTTAAATGATTAGGAATTAGTGTTTTTAATTTTTTATTGGTTCTTTGTGAATTTCACATTAAGAATCACAGTCCCTCTCATCTCCCTGTCCCCTTGCTTCCTTCCACCCCCTCTGTCCTTGCAACCTCCCCCCCCCAAAAAACAAAATTTAAAAGTAAAAAACAGAAGTAAACAAGAATAAAAAAACAACAGCAAAAACAAATGAAAAAATCTTGGCACATTACTCCAGTGAGTCGCACAGTCTGTACATCTTTACTTAATTGGTCTGGTTTGAGGCCTCTGGCCTCTGCTGCCCCCTTGATACTGGGCCCTCACTGGACTCCTGTTGGCTATCCTTTTGTTGTCTTGTGCCATGGAGATTCTATAGTGTTGGATTTTCAGGTTCGGTCCTTTCATATGCGCCAACAGTTCATAGAGTAGGTGGGTGTTGGGTGGGCTACCCTGTAACCCTGACTCTGAGCCTGGGTTGGTAGCTGAATTGGCCAGCCTGCTAGCTCACCCTCATCATCCCCAGCCCTGCTCCAGCTAGCTAACCCATAGAGTAGGCAGCAAGGAACCTGGCCAGGTCTCCTGCTCCCCAACACCCACACCACCAGGGCCAGCTGCAGGGCTCATTCTCTAGATTACTGCACTTAGGGAGGGGCTGGACCAGCTCTTCCATTCTCATGCCCCTGTGGTCGGCTCTACTACTTGTCGTACCTTGCTATCCCATGGCATATGAGGGGAGGGGCAGGGGTAGCTCCCTTATGCCTGTGCCAACAGGGTCAGCTCTAGTGTGCTACCCAGGCCAAATGCCATGCCTACTCTCCTGTGTGCTGCTGATGGTGAGGGGCAGGGCCAGCTCTCTCACCTGCCCCAGGTGTCAAGGGGAAGGGAAGCATTTTTCCTCACCCATGCCACCACATGGCCTGGGGATGGGGGGGGTCAGTCCTGCTCTCATGCCCTCCAGGCCTGCTTACTTGTACCCCATCAACAGGTCAGCTCTATTGCGCTGTCCAGGCGAGGTGCAGGACCTGCTCTCCCAAGTGCAGCTGCCGGTGGAGGCAGTGCCAGATCTCCCACTCGGATGACCTCAGGGCCAGCTTCCCCACAGGTTGCAGGCAGTGTGTGGCAGAGCAGGAGTGGAGCCAGATATCCTGTGCACATTCCCAGCACGGGGTCTCCTGAGCCTCTGTCAGTAGGGTCAGCTCTGCTGTGCTGTCAGCTAGATGCAGGGCCACCCTGCAGCTGGGGAGCGCCAGGATCAGCTCTCCCAGTCTTGTGTCCCTTGGACCAGTTTTTCCCACCTGCAGGAGGTGGTGAGGAGTGAGGGGCACGGGGTGTCTCTCCCTCACCCACACCACCATGTGACAGACTGTGGGATTAAGTTCCTACTCTCTCGTCTTGAGGTTGACTCCCTAGCTCTACTGTGCTGTCCTGGAGAGGTGCAGGGCCCACTCTACAGAATGAGATTAAAGAACAGGGAATTTTTTAAAGTAAGGTTCTAAGTTTCACACATTATTTTATAAAATAGGAGTCCTGTGACTTGCTTAAAACTCTCCTGGAGTTGGTTCTTGTATGTTCTTGTATGTGTAGTGTATCAGAGTAGTGTATGTATCGAGTAGTATCATACTCTATAAAGCAACAAGAAACCCCGAATTAGCACATCCTGAGCCATGGTTTCTAGGGAAGGTAATGAGGTGACATTATTTCGAGTCTCTTACACAGTGTGCCCATCAACTAATGAGCACATAACATAATAAGCACATAATGCTCATATTTTAAGACATTTAATCTTCACTATATGTTACTGACTTCCCACCATTGAGCTGTCAGCTAACACTAACTCAACTGAACGAAGCCTTAGCTTGTATTCTCTGAAAGACTCGTCATGTCTTACACCTCAGAGTACAGTCCCACAGCGCTCGGCATTGCACCGGTCAGTTCCACAGCAAAAGCACAGTTCATGCACAAGCCTGTCCACGAGATGCCACAAAGCACTGTGGACATCGTCCTGAGGGCTGCCTATGTGGTTAACTGTGGATGTGTGGAGGTCAGAGTGTAACCTGTCGGAGTACGATCTTTTCTTCTACCACATAGTCCAGCAGTCCAGCTCGGATCCTAAGGTACGGCAGGAAGTGCTTTCTCATGCCGACTTATCTCATTGGCTCACCACTGTATATTAAATAGAAAGTCTGTAAAATTGCCAACTAAGCATGACATGAATGTGCTTTCTTGTCTTCTAAAACAAATGTTATGTCCATATTACAAATTTTTTGTTGAGTGAAGCAGGATGTTTCTCCTAGTGTGTCTATTCCAGAGCCCTGCTTGTTTTATGTCAGTGACTCTGTGTATTCAAGCTTCTGTCAATTGTCCTTTTTCTCTAGGAATTCTTTATGGCACAATGACATTGGAACTTGGTGGGACTGTCAATATTACCTGTCAAAAGACTGGATACAGTGCAATACTTGAATTTAAGCTAAAGGTTAGTAAATGATGGTATTACCTAATTAAGGGGAAGCTGTGCTGTAAATACTGAACAAAAAACACAAATTAGTTATAGAATAAGAACTAAATATAAAAACATGATTTATGCCAGATCAAAGAGAAAAAATCCAAGGGCATTCTCTGTGAGTATCTTGGTTTAGCCTGAGACAGCCTTGGAAGATACAAATTAGCTTGAAAGCCACCACTCCTTTTGTTTTTAATTTTGATGATATAACTTACTGTTATAGAGGAAATGAGACTTAAATGATTGAAATAGCTCTGTGAATTAAAGCATTGCTTTGTAAAACCCCAGAAAGTAGATATGAACTGAGACTCTAGTTGCTTACAGTAAGACAATGTCATATTAGTTACTATTTCTGTATAAAAATTTATTTTAGCTCACATGTTTAAGAATAATCACATGCTGCTCTTCATCAGATTTTCATGCCAAAAATTTGGATAGGTAATATTGGTGACGGCTTTTCTCTTAAACAATGTTGAGGATTTAGTTGAGATCAGAATCAAGACTTGCCCACTTGTGCATCTGATACCCGTAAGGCCGCAGCTGGTACTCTGAGCACCCGTTCCTCAGCCTTTCCCTGGACGTCTTCCTTAGCAGCACAAGGTCGCAACAGCATGGAAAACTCAGCTGCCTTCCATGACTAGTCTTAGAAGCCAAATTTACAGCATCTTCTCTCTTCTGTTGAGAGTTACACACCCACCCAGGCTCGGGAAGAGGGACGGACGCAGTGATGCACTTCTCAGTAGGAGGCTGGCAAAGTCTCACTAAGAAGAGCATGGGGGCTGGAGAGGAAATGAGTAGGTACTGTTGAAGCCATCTTTGGAAAATTCTGTCTGCTTCAACAAACAAAACGTCTGAAACATTTTCACATTGTGTTCAGATAAAAATAGGAACTATTAAAAATAGGTGTTGTTAATTGCTTCCATGGTGATATTCTAGTAACCAGAATCTCTTTTCTAATGAAAAGAACTCCTAAGTATTATTTGATGTCGTGCCCTTTGCTTTGCCAATTTTATAAATGTGGAGATATTAGTTTAAAAATCATAATTCATTTCAAATGATCTTAAACAGTTACTCATATCATTAAGTACTGAAACATCAAAATTGTGTCTCTGAGGAAAGACATTAGTAAGACAGTGTAGTGACCTGTTGATGAAAGTTTCTGTAGCGCCTGGTCCCTCAGTCGTTCAGTCCCAAAGAAACACATAGAGGCTTATATTAATTATAAACTGTTTGGTCTATTGTTCAGGCTTATTACTAACTAGCTCTTTTAAATTAATTAATAATTCTTACTATGTTTAGCCACATATCTTGGTACCTTTTCTCAGTAAGGCATTCTCATCTTGCTCCTTCTCTGTCTGGCTTGTTGCTGCATCTCACCTTTCCTCTTCCCAGAATCCTCCTAGTCTGATTGCCCCACCTATACTTCCTGCCTCGCTACTGGCCAATCAGCATTTTGTTAAACCAATGCAAGTGACAAATCTTTACAGTGTACAAGAGCATTGTCCCACAACAGTGACCCAAAGTGTCCTCCTTCTGATTTTATTTTTTGGGAGAATTGTTTTCAAATTTTTAAATTCCCTCAGTTTTCTGAGCTCCTTTTCTTGGTGTGTTGCACATTGATGGGCTCAGTCCTGGCGGGTGGCAGGAACAGCACTCCTACTGCATGAATTGGAGGTCTTTATACCCATGTGATCGTTCTGAATTGTTTAGATTTCACAGTCTATTTTTAGCTATATTTCATAGTCATAATTCATATTTGTTTTCATTAAAAGTCTCTAACTTAAATTTGAGTCAGAATTTCACTGTTTTTACTTTCAAGAATATACTAACTTATAACTCTTCTTTTTATGTGTAATTATCTACAGTATATGTAAGTATAAACTAAAATGCTCAATATTTTCTTTTTTTAAAGCCATTTCTAGGAAGTAGTGATTATGTTAATCAAATATCAGGGAAACTTAAATTAGGAAAAGAAGTCCTAGCTACTTTGGAAGGCCATTGGGTAAGTTTTTTTATATGTTATAATTACAAAATTAATTATATCTGATGGAGAAAATAGACAATCATATTGCAAAAGTATCACTAAATCAACTTCATCTTAAAAGCAGGTATTTTTTGTGTTACTCTGCTCCCAGCGACATTTTATTTTATGTTTTATGTCTATGACTTTAGATGAGTAGAAGTAGCTGTCATATGGTACTTACTATACACCTTATTAAGTGTGTAGCTTGTATTTATCATATAATATGTAGTTGGATTTCATGAACTTGGCACATAGATGCCCATTTTTTATTGTATTTATTTATTTATTTGTGTGTGTGTTTGTGTGTGCGCATGCATGTGTGCCATGACACATATGTGGAAGACAGGACAGCTTACTGGAGCCAGTGCTCCCGTACTACCATGAGGGTTCCAGGAGTCAAGATCAGGCCATACAGTTGGTAGCAAGCACCTTCAGTAGCCAAGCCTTCCTGCTGACACACACAGAATATGTGCCCATTTGAAAGGGAAGGAAACTAACACAGAGAGCACCTGAATCTGAATCATTTGCAGTGAGCTGAGAAAACTGAGCCCTGGGCCTCTGGCTACGCAGCACTTGACGGGTTCCAGTTAGAGTCGTGTTTCTTTGGAGGAAGGTGGGAAGGTGCAGTCGTACATAAAAGCACTGGCTTTGATTTACTGCTCTGCCAATCTAGATTCACATTTATATAATTCCTTACAAGGAGCTTATGTGACCGAAATGGATTATGGTATATTTCTTAGATGCATTTCACTATAAACACTAAGTATATGTTGTTCTGCATTTAATAAGCAAAAAGGGTGAAAATAAAGCTAGCTATATGTAGAGACTTGGCCAGTGACTACATAGTTTCTGCAAAATGTTTACTTTTAAGTGTGTGTGTGTGTGTGTGTGTGTGTGTGTGTGTGTGTGTTCTCTCCTTTCATTGTGTGCGTCTCAGGAATAGATAGTCAGGCTTGGTGGCAATTGCCTTTATCCATAGAGTCATCTCCCTGGTTCCCTGCAAAATGTTTTAATTGACTTCCTATCTAAGTATTATTTGGAACACTGATAAGCCATCATTGTCAATTTTTTTATTATTATTATTTTGAGTCACAGTCTCATGTTGCAGCCCGACTGGCCTCAGACTCACAGAGATCGCCTGCCTCTGCCTCTTGGGTGCTGGTATTAAAAGGCGTGCATCACCACACCTGGAAAAATAGGTGTTCTACAGATATAAAACGTCTAAGATTGTGTTTAATTTTTAACACTAAGGGTCTCAGAAGTTTTTCAGTAATTTGATTTCCTACATTGTTCACAGTATCACACTATGCTCTTCGGCAACAGTTCAGACGTGAAGCTTGAGGCTTTGGCTGTAATGTTTGAAATTTGTTAAATGAAACAAAAAATCTTATGAACATTCTCTGTAATCAGCCTGTTTTTCTAATTGATTGGAATTACTTATTTAAACTATTTTTATACAAATGGAAGAATTTGGGTCTTTGAGAAATGTACTAGTTACATTTGTTTTAAAATACTTTGTAGTTTTCTTCTAGATAAAAATAACTATATTGATGTTTAATTTCTTTAAATATAGGATAGTGAAGTTTTCATTAATGACAAAAAGACTGATAATTCAGAGATTTTCTGGAATCCAACACCTGACATTAAACAGTGGAGATTAATAAGGCACACTGTGAAATTTGAAGAACAGGATGATTTTGAATCAGAGAAGTAAGTAAACAATTGTTTAGCTAACTTTATGAACATTAAGGAGTATTTCAAATTGCATAATAGTGTAGCCACACTATTCTCTATATGCTGTTGAGTTAATTCAGCAAGAGAATTTGTCATTTGTGGGACGGAGAGTATTCTGTGTTGGTGTATGTGACATAAATACTTCACAGGTCATCTTGTTTCTCTGTAGCTTAGAACTGAAATATCCTGGTTTCTCTCTCCTACTCCGGTACTCTAAATATCTGTTTGCATAAAATTATAGAACCAGTTTGTAGTTCAATTTCTACCTGGCACCTGCTTCCTGATCTGGTATCTGCCTGTGGATCGGTGTTGTGGGATGTAAAACAGCTGCCTTTGTTCTGTCCTCTGAAACAAGAATAATGCCACTCAGAGCCCTGGTTTCCAAAGGACGTAAACTAGTTGGGCAGTGCCATCGTTAATGCCATCACTTCTGTTATTCAGTCACGAAATTCTTTCTAGAACTCTTAGCCCTTTTGGTTAAAGTTCTGTTTATATTTCTCTGTGTTAAGAATTCTGCATCAATATTGCTTTACTACACACTTGATACCTGTGAGTCCTTACTCTGTGGTCCTGCTTCCATGAATCAAGTCTACGTGTACTTTATTTTCTACATAGGTACAGAATGTCAGCATTGGAAAATATGTATGCATTAATTTTCAAAGTCCTACTTCAGGTGTAACCACATGATATTCCCTGTCCAAAGGAACATGCAACCATTTCTAATGTATATAATTCAACGGGTTTTTTTATTGTTTTAATGTGGAGTTTTATGCAGAGCAAAGTGACCTTTAATTTGCTGTGTAGCTGAGAGTGACCTTGAACTGTTATTGCCAATCCTTTTGCCTGCGCTTCCAAGTACTGGGCCTATAGGATCCTCTGCTGAGTCCATCTCAACATATTTTAAGGATGAGATAATAAAACTTAGAAAAGGAAACTTTTATCAGCTAAGTGGAAGACATATAAAGTAACCTGTGTATAACGAATTTCAAGGCCTGTTTCAGTTCTGACAAGTTGCCCTCTCAGATGGATGAGATACAGATATTATACTCTCATTTGGCTGATGAAAAAAGCTATATTTTAATAGGGGAATCATTTTTCTCATGCTGTCTTTTTGTTACATCAGTGGATCCCAACAGTATTTGTGTATTTAAATCTAGGAAGCATTTAGAGTCTGTTCTTTGCCCTATTCCTAGAGACTGAATTTCAAAGTTCTCTGGTAATTCATGCATCCAAGATCTCTGGTGAATCATCCTGAGGTCTATGACTCCTAAACAGAATGGGTCAGAATCATCTAAAGAACTATGTAAACATGTAGGTTACTCTGAGAAATTATTCACTGTAGTCCTGTCAGCCTCTGTTGTCAGTTTCTGTGCTGCTTTAGTGTTGTTGGAGGCTGTTTGTTCATTCCCGGCCGCTCAGACCCAACATAATCACACAGAAACTATATTATTTCCAGTACCATTTGGCCAATAGCTTAAACGTGTTTCTAGCTAGCTCTTATATCCTGAACTAACCCATCTCCATTAATCTGTGCATTACCACGAGGTCATGGCCTGCTGGTAAAGTTTTGGTCTGATGGAGGCGTCTGTCTCCTGTGGTGGCTACATGGCTTCTCTCTGACTCTGCCTACTCTCTACATCTCTGTTTGGATTTCCCACCTGGTTTTACTCCGTTAAGCCATTGTCAAAAGCAGCTTTATTCATTAACCGACAAAAGCAACACATATACAGAAGGACTTCTCACACCATTTCCCCTTTTCTCTTTAAATAGAAAGGTTTTAATTTTAACATAGTAAAATTACATATAACAAAACAGGTATCAAATAAGAATTACAGTTACAATATTTATATGTTTTATCTTTTATCATAACTAAGGAAAACTATAACTGTCTATTCTTCAACTCCGTCAAAGACCCCAGAAGTTAACAGGAAGTACAATGTAAACACTTCTTCAACTCCATCATAGACTCCAGAAGTTAACAGGAAGTGCAATGTAAACAACTCCCAAAACTCTAGAATTAACAGAGCCATGTCGCTGCCTCGACAGTTACACAAAGTTCTTCAGTATCATTGGGCCTCCATCTTCAGCCTACAGGCCCATAGTACCTGGCAGACTTTTCCATGATGCAGGAAATTTCAAAGACAGTTTTGCCTATATTGGCAGTTTGTCAGTCACTTTCTTTTGTGTCCTGCAGAATGTCTGGCAGACTCTTTCATGAAGCAGGTACCCTGAAGGACTCTATGACCTTTAGGCAAGTTTAGAAGTCATTTTTCTGTGAGTTATGCGTGTCCAGTTCATACAGCATAACATCAAGCAGTCCAGGCAAGAGCAGTTTCTTGCCCAAATGGATAGCAAACTCCATAAGGAGCCTCTTTGATGCCCATCATCCTCTTGAAGTAGATGGGTGCTGTCAGGAGCAGATGTGTCTCACTGTCATGAAATGTCCTAAGTTCTTAAAAGATTTTAAATGTCATATTCTAAAGTCTCTGAAAGATTTGAAGAATACCTATTTAACTGAAATATATCTCTATATATCTAGAAAGCCTAACTAGCATGACTCTAAGCTTGACTATTATAGATGATTATCTATTAACCTATATTTCTTAATTATACATTACATTTTTAAATGAACTGCACAAGCAATACCTTAATCAAGAGTAGAAATATACATATAGCAACATTGATCTTAAATTTGTGTAAATAAACCAAGATCCATATCAATGCAAATCTCTATAACATATCCCCCTGTAAATGTAAAGAAATATTTATAAACAATCATTTTAGGGAATTTGGGCATTGTTGTCTAGACTACATTTTGCTGATTGGAGGCCTGTTGATCAGACCTGTCATGGGGTATCCTGTGTGGTAGGTCCATCTCAGCCAGAAGTCCCGAAGCCATCATGGATGTTGGACTATCTGGGACGTTGTTTTATGGGATCTTGTTTGATCAAACCACATTAGTCTGGTAGGGATCCACAGGTTCTCATCCTCTGTGGAAACAAAAGTAGAAGCTCTTTTCCGAAGCAACAAATCCTTAGACCCAAATTTTGAAGTCAGGATACTATATATATATATATATGTGTGTGTTGGTTTAGCTGAGCAGCCCATACAATGAAATAGCTCTCTGTACTTAGCTCCTTCACAGTCAAAAACCTCAAAGAAAACACAATAGCATACATAATCCATAATCTCTGTATATTCCATCTTTATGTGGCTTATTTTTCTTACTCTATTTCTATTTTTACAAGTTTACTATTTATTCTATTGTCTTTACTCCTTTAATCTACGGCTATCTGTACTATTTACTGTCTATACTCTTCCCCACCCCCTCAAGCCTATGTACATTTATCCAACACTGTGACCCATTTAGAGGTTGTTTTTTTCATATTTATTTATTCTATATATAATATTCTGTCTACATGTGTGCCTGCAGGCCAGAAGAGGGCACCAGACCTCATTACAGATGGTTATGAGCCACCATGTGGTTGCTGGGAATTGAACTCAGGACCTTTGGAAGAGCAGGCAATGTTCTTAACCACTGAGCCATCTCTCCAGCCCCTAGAGGTCATTTTTATATGAATCTTTTTATTGCATATTGATAATAGTTTTTTGACCAGAAGCGTTGTTTAAATGGTAAGCAGCTTGGTCACAGCAGCCCTGGATGCTGGCTCCGCCTTTCTCAGGCTTTTAATATGGCAGAGGTAGTTCACCTCCACCTCTGGGAATGCCTGGTGGGAACCCTCCTCACCTCCTCAACTCTGGGTAGCACCATGCAGCACATAAACCTTTTTTATCTGAGTTAAAGCTAAATCTTCCATGTGGCCTGGAAATACCTCTGTGTATGGCAGTGGGAATCCACTATGTTCTCCTGTCTGAGCACTTCTAGCAGACCTGATCCCACCACCTGCCCAGGCGGGGAGCAATGAGTCATGGCATGGTCTCAGCTACTTTCCTCCCAACTCCTTAGAGGGCACAAAAACATCCGGACTGAAGTGGGTAGCGGGCATCAGCCCCAAATGTTTCAGACCACGTTAGCGTGCCATTCTCTTGGTGGAGACTGCTCGTTTGTTTCCCAGCCTCCTGGAACTGAAATAACCACACAGAAACTGTATTATTTAAAACACTGCTCCACTAATGCATATTTTTAGCTAGCTTTTGCATCTCAGATGAACCCATTTCTCTTATTTTATATTTTACCACGATGCTCGTGGTTTACCAGTAAAGTTCTCAGGTGTCTGCCTCCTTCAGTGGCTATATGGAGTCTCACTGACTTCGCCTGCTTTCTCACAGCATTTAGTTAGTTTTCCCACCTAGCTCTATTCTGCCCTATTACAAGCCAAAACAGCTTCTTTATTCATTAAACAAAAGCAGCACTTATATGGAAGGACTTCCCACACCATTTTAGAACACATGCCATTGATTTCTCTTGTCAAAAAAGAATTTAATCTTCATTTAGTGATTGTTGCCTATTCAAGGCGTTGGGTTTTGTTTCTTGACTCATTTCTAAGCATATAAGTGTTGTCAAAGTCATAAATCCACATGAGCAATATTTGCTCTCAACAAAAAATCTGTATAATTTAATTTTTCTAGTTGATTTTTTTAAATATTATTTTTTACACTTATTTACTGTTTAGACTCTGGCAGCGAGTAACAAGAGCTATAAATGCCAAAGACCAAACAGAAGCTACTCAAGAGAAGTATGTTTTGGAAGAAGCTCAAAGACAAGCTGCCAGAGATCGGAAAACAAAAAATGAAGAATGGGCTTGTAAGTTATTTGAACTTGATCCACTCACAGGAGAATGGCACTATAAGTTTTCAGAGTAAGTAATTTAAACATTTATTTTAAAAAAATATATTAGCATAATTTTTGGCTTTATATTTCTAGTATATTTATTATCAACATGAATTAGGGCGACTTTTTATTTTACAGACGTTTTAAGAATTTATGTGTGTGTGTGCCAGCTTCTGTACATCTGAGTGCCATGTGCCCACAGGAGCCCATGAAAGTCAGACAGAGCTCCTGGTCCTGGTGTAGTGGACGGTTGTGAGCCACCGTGTGGGTGCTGGGAACCGAACTCTGGTTCTCTGCAAGAGCCATAGGTGCTCTTAACCACTAAGCCACCTCTTCAGCCCATAGTGTGAAATTTTACTTTGATTTATTCATTTAATTTTTTGGGACAGGGTCTGACTATGTTGCTCTGGCTGTCCTGGAACTTGCTATATAGACCAGGCTGGATTCAAACTTAGAGTTCCGCCTACCTCTGTCCAGTACTTAAATTAAAAGGTGTGCACCATTATATCTGGCTTCACAGTGTGACATTTTAAACTTGTTGTTCTGTTATTTACTTTACATTCTGTGATAGTAATTAATTTTCCAAATAAGCTAAGAAGATAGATATAGACAAACAAATCTTAGGATTAAACCAGTCTTTGTAATTACTTAATTAAAATCTAATAAAAAGAAATTGAGTTCTGTGACTATTTAAATTTCTTTTTTGTATTTAGTACCCGACCATGGGACCCACTTAATGATATGATACAATTTGAAAAAGATGGTGTTATCCAGACCAAAGTGAAACATCGCACTCCAATGGTAAGTAACAAAAAAGTAGCTAGGTCCAATAGGCATATAAATTTGCTAAATCTTTAGTATCCATGATAATTACATTTAAAATTTTAGGTAAGTAAAGAGACATAACAGATAACTCCAAGTTTTTGATACACCCCAAACACACACATACACACACACAAAAATAGAATCTACCAAAAGTCTCCAAATATTGAACCATTTGCAGCAACTAAGGGAATGAAGGACCAAGAAAGGACTTCAAAGTAGTAGGAAAACATTATAACATTATAGGAGTCCTTCCTCACCTCTTCCTGGGCACACTTCCAGGCTTGTGAGGTCTGTATTCCAGTGTAAGTCCCTGATGCCAGAAGGAAGAAAGCAGACCACACACGTGTATACAGCCATGCAAGCGTGCACACACACACACACACACACACACACACACACTTCACCTCTCAGGGTACCTGCTGCCTAGAAGGCACATGAGAGTATCAATAACATGAAATTATACAAAGGAATTAAACATAAATGTGAGAGCTGAAAAGTAGAGTACTAGGAAAGTTTGCTAGATAATCTAACAACAGACTTAAGTAGGTACAAGACAAAATCGGTCACATGAGAGATAAAGCTATTCAAATTATCCTGTATGGAGAGGAGAGGGGGCAAATGGATGGAAAGGTAAATAGAACCCTAAAGGTCCACAGGAGCACCCTCTGATGGGTCATGTGACTTACAGAGTCCACAAGGAGATCAGAGACAGAGATGGATGAAACATCCTTAATTAAAGGCTCCCATATGCCCAGTGTTGATGACAGTAGGAATCTGTAGATCGAAGTCCAACTGTCTGAGTAGAGTAAGCTCAGACTGTTGAAAGCCAGAAAAGGCAGCAGGAAGGAACACGTAATGTTTCTGTTAGATAATATTAAAGATTCCTAAAAGTCCCAGGACAACTTTAATGATCAACTCTGGCAACATTGCAGGGTATAAAATGGACTCACAGATAATATTTGTGTTTCTATATAGTGAGGAATCACAAAGGGAAATTAAAAAAGCAGTTCAGTTTAAAATAGCATCCAGAAGAGTAAAATCCTGGCAATAAATATAACTAAAATGTGGAAGATTTGTATGGTGAGGACTGTAAAGCGTTGCTAAGGAATTTCAATAAGACATAAGAAGTGGAAAGACTGTGTCTAGACTAGAAGAGTTCAAGTCATCACAGTGCAGTGCTGCCCAGAACACTGCAGACGTGGGAAAGCCATCCTCAGACTCAAGTGGAACTGGGAGGGTTCAAGCATAGATAAAACAATCTCTCTTTTTGTTTGTTTGTTTGTTTTAGGGCAAAGTTGAAGACATTTTCAAAGTTTATCACAAAGCCACAGTAACCAAAGCAGTCATTTGGATAGAAGGATAGGCGTGGTAGATAGGCCAGTGGAAGAAAATGAGTCTAGTCGTAAACCCATAGAAAATCACGTGTAAGGGGCTGGACAGATGGTGTAGTTAAGAACACTTGTTATTCTCCCAGAAGACTTGGGTTCCATTCCCAGCACCCACATGGCAGCTCCATCCACCTACAATTCTAGTTCCAGGGCATCTGCACCCTTCTCTGGCCTCCTCAGGTACTGCATGTATGTGGAGACACACTCAGGCAAACACTCATGTGCATAAAATAAGTTTTCAAAGAAAGTTTTAAAATTTATGTCAATGATTTCTCCCACTCCTTAGAAAATTAGTAGTCTCTTGAACAAATCCACTCAGGCACATCCACCTGATTACTACTGTACAGAAAGTAACTTAGAATAGATCTGTACATAAAATGAGATGTAAGACTATACAATTTTTAGAAAACAATCTAAGTCATGAATTTGTGTGTAAAAATAGATTCTTAATAAGACTTTAAAATCATTAATAGCAACAACAACCAGAGCTAAACTATAGACAGCTGTACAGTTAAAATACTTGGTGCTCCTATAGGGGACCTGAGTTTGTTCCCAGCACCTACACAGCAACTCTCAGTTGTCCCTAACTCCCATTTCAGGGAATCTCATGCCCCCATGTGGCCTCTCCCAGCAGCAGGCACACGTGTGGTCCTTAGAGTTTCAGGCAAAGCACCTTACACAAACAAGCAAACCTCACTTAAGCATCATCAAAGAGCTGCTGCCATGAAGAAGGCAGAAGGAAAGGTTACAGAATGAGAGAAATCATTTGCTAATTGTTTATCTAACAATGTTTAAATATCCAAAATATGTAAGAGTCCCTGACTTAACAAAAGATATCCTGGTTTTAAAAAACAGGCAAACGGCTTGATTAAACATTTCTTCAAAAAAGATACACAAATGTCCAAAACACTTAAAATTGTTAATATTAGTATATGAAATGCAACCCAGAACCACAATTAGTTTGTCTCATCCCACTTAATATGTAATTAAAAAATTAAAATATAAAATAAAGTGTTGGTGAAGGTATGGGGAAACCAGAGCCCCAGTACATTGCTGATTTGAATGGAAAACTTTGCAGCCAGTGGGGAAACACAGTTTAGCAGGTCCTAAAAGAATATATAATACAAAATTACCATGTGACCCAGCTCTTGTACTCCAAAAGAGTTGAAAATCAGAAGTGGAAATGCAATGTAACAGTACTGATTGCAGGATAGTCACAGTGGCCAGAAGAGAGAGGCAGTGCAGGATCCACTAGCATAAGGTGCATAAACAAAACAGTCTGTTCATAGTTTATTATTTACTATCAATAGTACATGATTAATAAATATATCCTGTATTTGTTAATGAGTTTGCCTACTAATAAATATTATTTATGCATGAAATAATTAAATTCTGCTCCACACTACAACATGGACAAATTCTAAAGGGCAAATATTCTATGGTTTCTAAGTAGGCAAGTTTTCAGAGTCAAAAAGTAGATTACAGTGTCCCAGCGACCTGAGGAAGGAAAGAGTGAGGATCTAGAGACTCTGAAGATGGGTATACAGTATTGCGAAATAATTAATGCTAGTGGGCTGTATACAGTAGCTTTAAAATGGCAAAACTCTATCATATATACATGCTATCACAATTTTCAAATGCAAAATTTTGTTTGGATTTATTTTTTTCAGACAGGGACTCACTATGCAGTCCTGGCTAGCCTGGATCTCACTATGTAGACTCTTCTTCCCTCACACACAGAAACTCACCTGCCTCTGCCTCTGCTGAGATTGAGGTGTCCACTGCCATGGTGGAGACGCATGAGACACAGATCACAACGAGTGTGTGTCCTTCCCTCACTGCCGACCCCAGTTGTCACTCTGAAGACTCCAGTGTTCCCAGCCTGCCTTCTTAGTGTCCATTATACACATGTGTAAGATCTTATACCGCTATCCCAAGGAGTAACCAGGGATACGCCCGTTAGGCTAGTGAAGGTACATATGGAGTTATAGATGTGTGACCATTGACTTTGTTTCTCAGCTTCCATAGCGTCTCACCTTGTGATTCCTTCCTCCTCTGCATTTAGGTTTTAAGTTGTGGACTTGTGACCAGAATTATAAACCTATTAATTATTATTCTACAGTTTATTATTCCACAGAAAATTTAATCCTACTTAATGTGTAATACACATATGAATCTTATGCCTACACATAGATGTTTTTAGTAAGTGTAGGTGTACTGTAAAATAGTAGTATATTTTCTCTTTACCATAAACTGCCTACACCTAACATTGTCCAATGGGAATGTTCCAACATTGAGAACAAGATAAGGATTTTCTCAACACTGCTGCTGAAAACCCTGACAATGCTATGAGAAAGAGATGCAGCAGTTGGGGATGTATTTGTGTTGGTTTGTATATGTTTAAAGGTACCAACCTAATAGCCTCGGCACTGCTCTGTAAAGGAGAGAGCGGGTGTATGCGTACAGGTCAGGAATGGGAGGGAGATAACTTCATACATTTCTTCTTTGTAGTCTCTGTACCCAGTGAGAATCAACTAAGATAGTGGATTGATAAGTACAGTGCATCTTTCTTGCTAAATTTCATTAGATTGTTTGTGCTTTGACTCCCAAGTATCACGCCCGTCAGTGCTTTTGACAGTTGTGCAGGTGGTTTAGCTATATAGTGCAATCTCGCATAATATGATTTTTCAGGTTAGTGTTCCAAAAATGAAGCATAAACCAACAAGACAACAGAAGAAAGTGGCAAAGGGCTATTCCTCCCCAGAGCCCGACAACCAGGACTCATCTGGAAGTGAAGGTAAAGATATTTACTGCAGACTGTTAGATGGGAACAATCTTAATTTTTTTACTATGCTATTAGGTGTATATAAGTGGTTTTCAAATGAACTGAAGAGTGTAGAGTCTATAAGGAGACAGGACTCAGGTGTGAGTGCTGTCGTGGATGGAGTACAGATGAGCTGGCTCTAAGGTGAAGGATGGGATGAGAAAGGGAAGCTTTCAGATGAGAAACGCTACAGTAGCAGCTCCTGTGGCCTTTTGGTGAGAATTTGTTGATTGAATTAAGAAGCGTATTTATTTTTAACTTTTGAATCAGTTCATTTTCAAAAAGAGTTCCTCATTCCTAATGTAAACTAGTCGTGTTTGGATGGCACAAGTGAGACTATAAATATGTAAAACTCGTGGACTACTAGATTAAATAGTGTCTTGACCTGTGTGGACTGTATTGAGCTATATTGAGATACAATTAAGAAGGGACAAGGTAACATCTTAGACACTGTAGGAAACTGAAAAAGAAATTTTTAGAAATCTGCCTTAAACACAGTGTTTGAGTTTCCTGACAGAGGCAACACTAGAATAATAAATAGTCAGTATGAGGACATGGATGATGGGTGATGAGGGGCTTAAAACAAAGGAGCTCAGTCTGGGTTGGGAAGTTTCTTGGATGATCCCTGATGACTCTCCAGGGACTTGCTACCCCATGCTTGGGTCATGCCCGGGATAGCATCCTGAACTAAACTAGCTAAGTACTAAGTACGGTGATGTAGGTGATAGCAGCAAAAGAATCTACAAAGTTACTGTCCTTTTATAGCAAAGGATGCTGAACAGGAACTCTGAACCTTGGAAACAGTTAACCTGTGCAAGGTCACAGAGCCCATGGGATAGGGGAGTGAAATGGTACTTGATGTAGGATATCTCTAACTCTTCAATTGACCCTCTTTTCAATACCACTGGATTTTCTATAGCATGCCTGGTAATGTTTATTGACCACTTGGTGCCTTACAACTGTGTGAAATTGGGGCAATCCTATTAGCCTTAGTTTAAAAACCTTGAGAGAAAGATCTGAGCGCGCACCGGAAGGGACGAAGCTGACAGCAGCACCAGGAGTTGAAGGTCTCAGAAAGCCGAGTTTTTCAGATCTGTGCCGGCAGCTGGGGGGAGAAGAGAGTATTAGTTTCTCAAAATTAATATAGGTTTTAAATGAATTATTTTTGTCTGTTTTAATGAATTAAAAATAAAACTGATTCCCCAAGCTAAGTAATTTGTAAGTACTCTGTGCATTGTTCCAGCTTTGATTTGATATGTTCAGACTTTATAAAAACAGAGCATTTATTTTAATAATCTGTAGGCCATTCAAGCCAATGTGTAGAAAATTTTTATTGTAAAAGTCATTAAATTCATCTATAGACTGTGACCACAACTTCAATCTAAATGTCTTTTAGCTCAATCTGTAAAGCCGAGTGCACGAAGAAAGAAGGGAATAGACCTGGGAGACATTCAGAGTTCCATTGAGTCTATAAAACAAACACAGGAGGAAATTAAAAGGTAATATGTTCTAACAGTGAACAGTTGTTTGAGTCCAGAGGAGTAAAAACCCTGTTAAGGGAATTCATGAGAACTTTACATTTTTATAACATTATAAAGTTTAAAAATAGAGTCCTGGCCTCTGTTGCCTGAAGTCTGAAGCTTACAAAATTCCTTCCTCACTGAACTAGTAGGGGAAATGTAGTTATGATATTTTTTCTCTGAGGGTAGAATGTTTTATTGCTAATAGCATGCTAGGAAGATAGCTGTGTTGCGTGTGGAGGCCGGGTTGTTTTTGAGAAAGCTGACGGACGTGCTTGTTCTTGCATCCCTTTAGTGCAGGACTGATGTGTAATTGTAATGTGTCGCTTCTTAAAATACCTGAAGTACTTGTATAGCAGTGGGTAAATGGTCACTACCCTGAGACCAGGACTGTCCACATGCACACGCACACATGTCCCTTCATGATCTAGTACCTAACAGTTATTAACACTTAACAGAAGATCCTGGAGGAAAGACGTTCCTGTTCCTGTTCCTGTTCCATTACTGAAACTAGCTACATGAACTTTTAAAATGTTCAGTATTAAACCTGCTTGCTTTCTATGCATGGATCAGTGTTGGATGTATGTTCAGGGCAATTAAATATAAGCAATCTTTCTCTATTCTTGGAGCTGCTATTTTATCTCCAGCCTCATCGTTGTGCCCCATCCTGTCCTATGAAGCTTCTCCCATCAACCATGCCCTGTGTGCATGCTCATATCTGGGCCATTGCCCTTACTGCAGCTGGCTTCTCAGATTGCCCCTCTTTCCTCTGTGGCGGTGCACACCTCTGGTCACAGTGCTGAGGGGCAGAGACAGGCAGATCTCCAGCCTGGTCTAGGCAGAGCATTCCAAGGACATTGCAGAGCTGCTGTCGTGTGCTGTTAGCTCCACAGGACTGTGGCTCCTTCAGAGCAGACGGAATGACATGTGCATCTTGTCTATTATCCTGCCTTAATTAAGCCTTAAGTTGGTGTCCCTCCACAAAAAAAGTAATGGTGATTCACTCACAAGTTGCTTTTAGCCAAAAACATTTAAGATGTCATGAAGATGTTATATTTCATGACTAAATTTACATTTTTGTAGCATAAGAAAGGCTGTTGAATATTCTTCAACTTGAGAGGAAATCTGTTGCATATTTTTTTCCCTTGGAGAATTTACAGTTTTTACTCCGCTCTTGTCTCTCAATTATAGATACAAGAAACCTAGCCAACTGAAGAACAAATACTTTTCTTAAAACCACCATTTTAACAGAGATGATAATATATTTTTGTTTCATTAAACTGTGATAATTCTGTTGAATGTGTCAAAGTAAATCCAATGTACTTAAAGCACATTAGCCTAAATCATGGCATCTCAGGTCTTGGTTAGAGTAGTAATTGATTGAACTAGTTACTTGAGGTAATGTAGTTAGACACTTTGTGACAATATAGTAACTGTTATAATAACATTTTGTGCTAACATTTCTGAGAAAAAATTATGAAATTTATTGTTGCTTATTTTTTAGAAATATTATGGCTCTTCGAAATCACTTACTTTCAAGTGCACCTGCTACGGATTATTTTCTGCAACAGAAAGACTACTTCGTCATTTTCCTTCTGATTTTGCTTCAAATCATAATAAACTTTATGTTTAAATAGGAGTTCTCAACAGTTGACTCCGTGAACTGGAAAGATCAGCCTGGGACCAGTTCTTATTGGTTTGCTCTTTAGTAAAGCATCACAACATTTCTAAATCAGACAGACAACTAGGAGATAAATGTAGACGTGTCCGCCTCCTTCTTATATCTTTTATCCTTCACCCAAAACAAGAGCTGTTCTATTTGATCATTAAAATTGGCTTTGTGTTAAGTGCCAGAACACTTTTGTGAGACTGTGCCTACATGTGTGTATGCTAAACCCACATGTGTACACAAGAACTCTTCCCTGACAGCAGTGTCTGTGCTCTGCCGGATGTTATGACATATTCTGATACCATTGTTCATGACAAAATGTCATTATATTATAAATATGTATAGTCAACTGTTTTCTTCAGGAGACTGGCATACAACTTTCATTAAGGAATTACAGTGGGAAATGATAGATATTTAATAGACATACTATGACTAATTCAGTACATTATACTGTTAAAACCATCTCCAAGGTATCTAGCTCGGTTGTCTTAGAAACACCAAGAAAAGTGTGAGTGGTAAGAATTAATATATCGTGAGAAACAAGTAGAATGTTTTAAAGAGTTTACAGAAGATTTTCTAACCCCTAGAACTTAATGTTGCAGATATAGGTGTATCGTACTTATATATACACATATATATATCAATATTAAAGATCAGTATGTAGCTACATGGATCTGTATGTTACAATCCCACCTTAAGCACTGGCTGACAGATGATCAAGTTTATTTGCCATCCTTTCCTGTTTTAAGTCAGCTGGTCTAGGATGTCTTCCAGATGTTAGTGTTTATAGGCTATGTGAAATTTTGATAATTTAGCATTTTCTTTATGAAAAACATTTTGGCATTCACTTCGACACTAGAGTGCTCAATGGGAAAGTAGAAGAGAAAAATTCTAATATTTTACTTCTAAAGCCAAAAAAAAAGGCAGTAAGAAAAGACACTGCAGTGGCCTTTATTTTAAAAACATTGAAATCAATTTGCTTACGTGTGCAATAAGTTGAGCATTTGAGAATATCAAGTTATGAAGTTTATCATCTCCTTCCATCGTCCTGTGGCAAGCTAGTTCTGTACGAGTCCTTCTGTTCCTGCTCAGGCAGGTTTGTTACTAAGGGTTTTTGCCTGTTTCTTCAGTTCAATATTTTGGCTTTTTATTATTGTCAAAACCTGTTCTTTAAAAGGTAATTAAGTTTTGGAACATATCATGAAATTTAGATTTCTCTGAACTACAGGTTTCAGAAAGGTTTATACAGTGAAAAGCTAAGAGCGGCTGTTGGCGTGGCTCCACCTGCCTTCGGCTAAGGAGCTACTGAGGTGCAGTCAGTCAGCTCTGTGTGAGGGATACAAAGCCAGAGATGGCCGGCACAGTGCTGAGACCATATGGAGCTGTCTTCAGTACCTGGGTTCCCATGAAAAGCCATCCCCACACGGTGTTAGCAAAACAACGCTGTATTTCATATGAAAATAGTTTAAACTTTTAACAGCTTAAACAAGCTATACCTGTATCCAGTATTTCATCCTTATGGAGTTTTGGGTCATATTTCATATTTGTCAATATATTTTTTGTATTCATATTCTACTACCAATATTATGCTCAACTGCCTATTCATTGATGTGATATTTTGTAAATATTGTACAACTTGATCTTTATATGATTTTAAATTAGTATTAATTTATATTATATATAACTTAATTGGTTGATTGCTAAAAGTTGTTTCATCGTTAAGCCCTGAAATGTTCAATTGTTGGTGACCTTAGGGCACTGTCTTACTCCTTTGTATTGTTTCGTGTGGTTTGAACAGGGCTTTATTTGTATTGATATCTGAGACTGGAAAGGTAATTGTTTTGTTTTTTTTAATTTCACTTCAGAGCTGATGTTAATGGGTCCTTACCTAAGGAGTCAGAAACTAATGAACAGGGTGACTGTTTCTTATACACTGAAAGCTTATGTTCAGTCGGATGTTTCTCTGACGCTTTTAGTGGTATGAGTTTCTTTCTGTGAACTGAACCCAAAACTCAGGAATTGCTGGATTCATATGTAAGTCCTTTAAATAGTGTATAATTGACCTTGAGTTTAGCCAGACAGTGTGACTTGACTTTGAACATTCTGACCTGAGGGTGATCTCTCTTCATAAGTGGATTCATAATGTGTGACTCACCGTTCCAAACTGTCTGAAAACTACATATGGTTTCTCGGGTTTGTGACTCTATGACCAGTTTTCTTCATTTATCTAAAACATTATCTTCTCACACGAAACTTTAGATGAGAAGTAATAATTATTGGCATTTTCATGTTTCAGTTGTTAAATATCTAGCTGTCCCCCATTCAGTGAGATGCTGCTGGCTGGAAAAGAGAGCAGTAGGCGCATGGACCGCAGTGTGCTACAGCAGTAGACAGCATGCAATTCCTGTCGCTACTTTTCTTGTCTGACTTAGAAAGGCACAGTGGTAGTCTTTGTCACAGCTCAGCTGACAACTGCATTCCACTGAAAAGTTGGCCTTGTAAGACACAATCCTCATTTACTATTTCATGCTTTTGTGCCTTTAAGGAAATATTTTTCTTATTTTGTGTTACAGAACTTTAATGTGTTCAAAGTGTTTTGTAGGCTTACTTGTCATAAAAGGGTCATTTCTCTGTCACTTTACTTCCTTTTATATAGCTGAAGAATATGTAAACAGTAACGCTGTACTTTTATAAGGATTTGTCTAGTTACCAATTTCAAATATATTCTTACTCAGACATCACTAAAGTAAACCTGTCAGATTATTCTGAGTATTGTAAACAGTGCCTTTTTGATGGAATTCACACTGTTTTGGGTGTCAACTCGTGCCATATTCACAGACTTGTGGAAGGCAGTTTTAACTTTTTGAAGATTATCTTCATCAAAATTTTAAGAGCAAGTGTATAAAATTTCATCTTTTTCCAGTGTTTAGCATTTCTAGTCAGCAGTAAATAGTTTTGTTTTGCTTTTTTGTCTTATGTACAAGGATGATGGCATAAAATGAGCCATACATGAGTCTGCAGATTATTTTGGATTATGTTAAATATACATAAAGAAAATATTCATGTTTATATCAAATTTTCCAATTTGACCTATAGGGGGGAACCTCCCATAATTCAATAAGTTTACATTTCAATCTCTTTCTTATTTGACTAAGTGTATAAAGAGATTCCTTAAAATGTATAACCTGCCACCGCTGCATAATTTGGTTTCATTTTGTTACATATTTTGTGGGTTTAGTATATCCACTTTTTGTTACAATTATGATACTATTTTGTTACAGTTTTTAAATGAAGATGGACTTTTAAAATTGTACAGGACCAGTGTCTTATTAATAAGATTAGCATATTTAGTGAGAGCCACAGGAAAACCTTGACGAAAATGAATGTGTCTATACTCCATGAGATATTTAGAAAAATTAGCCTCTTCATTTGTCATGAAAACTGTTTCAATACCATAATATTGCAATTCTTTATTTGAAAGAAATGCCATGAAACATTTGAATGATGAGCCACAGACCTTCGGTTGGATTTACTTTCACTTTTTAGCATGTTAAATTTAATTTTAAATACATCAGTTAATGGCTGTTTTTAAAGTCAAGCACTACCACTGGTCAGTTTTGTATGATAGGCTATAAGTGTGTTGTTACCTGCAGTGTAAGTATAGCACACTGCTGAATTCTCTTAAGGTGCATAGTTAATGTATAGATAGTCACAGGCGGTTTTGTAATGTATACATTTCTAATCTATTATTCCTAACCTGTTACGTTTGCAGAGAGAAAAGAATTTTTCTACTGATCTGTAAAATTATGTTAACTTCTACTAGTAGGTATTCTAAATAAACTTTTTAAAAGCAATCTGTGATCCAATGACTCCTGATATAATGTAGTAACTAAATTCTCTTTTTTTTTAATTTTGCTTTGTTTTGGGGGTGTGTGTGCAAAAGGCTTGACAGGGATTTAATGGAACCCTAATGTATGTGTTACTTGGCACTTTAGAGTCTTTCTTAATAAGTAGATATTATACATAGTTCATACATTAAAACTGAGGTTCAGAGTTTCTAAATGACCCTAAGAACTACACAATAAGGATGAAAGCAGTCTCTGAAAAGATGCAAGTGTTTTGAGTCATATCTACACAGTGTGTTCAATCAAGTAGAACCTTGATTGTAGTATTTAAATGTTTGAAATAACCCACTACTTAAGTCTATATTAAGATAATGTCACGTGATGAATACAACCAGGTTTAAAAAAAAAAAACATTACCATTAAACATTAAATGTTTTCCCCTCCAATCACCTGAACCTCAGATAAGTTCAGGAAAGTTTTACCCAATTTCCTCCTTTCTCCCCCTTCTAGCTTACCCCTCAAAATTTATTTGCTACTTCTAGGAATAACAGGAGAACCTACAGTTTTCTTTTCTGCATTGGAATATGGAGTAGGGGGAAACCTGTTAAACATCAGTGTGTATCTAGATCACTTTCCTGCTAATATTGACATGTTTGTTCTGCATTCTTGTGGATATAACAGCCCAGGAGTGATGGCCCACCCTAAGAATGTTGTGGGTAAATTGACAAATTCTTGAATATACTTGCTCTGAGTTACAGACTGTACAAAGTACTTTCTATTGTACCCACCTCAGAACTGAATTTTTAATATATATATTAAATATATATATTACATAAAATTTTTAGTATATATAATATATATATTTAAATGAGGAAAGCAGGGACCACAGAAGTTATTTTCTGAATGTCACGGATGATTGACTGGAAGGACCTCAGAAGACTGTGTTTTAATATGAAACATTTCTGCTTGGGGGTTGTATGCAATACACAGGGTTAATATATGTGGAATCGTACCAATAGGTCATCAATGTGAATAAAGGGAAAACGTCTATCATTTCTGCTCAAGTGGTGAAACTAGTTGGGGTTTCTTAGACACCTGAATGCAGTAAAGGTCGCACACCCCAGCGGAAGACAGGTTAAAAAGGGCGGTGGCCAATCTCCGAGGCCGTCCTGCATCCTAAAACCGTGTGCGTGACGTCAGGAAAGCGGTTGATACAGTGTGGGCCCTGTAGGAGCAGACAGACAGATAGACCCGGGACGGGAACAGAACCCGCGGAGTGCAGACCTAGCAGAGCGGTGAGTGCGGGATGGCGTCAGGAGACACCACGGTCACCTCAGTCTCCGCCGGCGCCGGGCGGGTTCCAATGCCCCGCAGAGCCCAACGGCTGCACTTCCGGCTTCCTCCCCGCCTCTTCCGGCCCCGCCCACCAGCGGTCCGGCTACGCAGACGCGGTCGGCTGGACCCTGAATCCATGGCGTCTCCGGGGTCCGTGACCGCGGCGCTGCGGGTGGCTGAGGTGCTCGAAGCCATCGCGAACCGCTGCGTGGGGCCCGAGGGCGGGCTAGTGTTGTGTACGAAGCCCACCGGCGAGGTGCTGCTTAGCCGGGATGGAGGCCGCCTCCTGGAGGCGCTGCACTTAGAGCATCCCTTAGCCAGGTACCTCGCGCCCCCTGCCGTCCGCCAGGCCCGCAGTCTCCCTCGGTCTCTTTATCATCCGGTCTTGAGACCAGGGACCCCCGTGGGAAAATACGATCTTGTAAGACCAGTGCACACACCGGGTTAGCATGCTGTCCAAAACGACTCGTCCTGGACCCCAAACCTCATCAGCTACCTAGAACATTTCACTTTTCCCGCCCCTGGGATCTTAGGATAGAACAAAGTAGCTTAGAAAAAAATAAAAATAAGTCTGTGTGTCAAAAGGACGATAGTCTTTATGTCTGTCTGTAGCTTTTAACTTGGCACCAACTTTTTTTTTTTCTCCCTATACAGGATGATAGTGGCATGTGTTTCCAGTCACCTTAAAAAAACAGGAGATGGTGCTAAAACATTTGTTATTTTTCTTTGCCATTTACTCAGAGGACTTCATGCAATCAGAGAAAAAGATCCATTCACTTCTGAAAATATTCAAACCCATGAAAGGCACTGGAAAAACTGTAGTCAGTGGAAATCTGTTTCCCAGGCTCTTCTGACGTTTCAGACACAAATACTAGACCGTATTGTGGACCAGTATTTAAGCAGGCACTATTTGTCTGTGTTTTCTTCATCCGCTAAAGGAAGAACACTGCGCAGGCGCTCTTTAGAGTCACTCCTAGAAGCGTATTTTTGTGGACGAGTGGGACGAAACAATTGCAGATTCATTTCGCAGTTGATGTGTGACTACGTTTTCAAGTGCATGGCTTGTGAAAGTGGGGTCGAAGTGTTTGAGTTGATGGACAGCTGTTTTTTCGAACTGAATGTTGGTGTCTCAGGCCTTCCTGTTTCCGCTTCTAGAATTGTGGACGGCCTTGTGCTTCACCGAGACTTCTCTGTGTATTGCCCAGCAGATGGTGACATTCGGATGGTGATGGTCACAGAGGCCCTCCAGCCTCTGTTTTCATCGTCCAAATCAGAGTTTATGCTAAATTCGGAAGCGCAGTTTCAGGCCTCTCAGTGTTGGATCGTGGAGAGGACCGAGGCAGTAATGAAACATTTGCAAAGTCAGAATATAAAACTGCTCCTGTCCAGCGTGAAGCAGCCAGACCTGGTTGTTTACTGCGCAAGACTACATAGCATATCCGTGGTGGAGTGCTTATCAGCTGAAGAGGTTTCTCTCATCCAGAGGATCACTGGCCTTCCTCCTTGTGTTCTGCCACGGGTCACTTCACAGGGTGAGATTTTGCATACGACTTCGGTGAAATTTTGTAAACCCCTCATCCTTAGGTCCAAAAGGTATGTTCATCTTGGCTTGATGAGCACACGTGTGTTTATACCTCACTGTATGATCCTTTGTGGACCGGTTCCAGGTCTTGTTCAACAGCATGAGAGTGCCTTGCATGGGGCATTTAAGATGCTCCGGCACTCGTTTACTGACCTTGATCTAAATTACATTATACAAACCGAGGACCAGTGCGACTCCAGTCCCCTTGCTTCTAACAGTAGCAGAGACAGTCATCACCTACCAGAAATTGGTAAGTATCAAGACATAACCGTAAAGAACAAAAATAAATCGGAAAGCACTCAAACGTATTTAAGAGTATATTCAAATCTGGTGGCTTCAGATACAGAATTAGAAATGCCTGTGCCATGGTCAGCGCAGAAGGAGACACCGATAGATGCATCTCTAACAGGTGATATACGGAAGTGCTTGTCTCCAGAAAGAAACTGGATAATTGAGGGCTGTGAACTGTCGATTGAGAATAATTCTACTGGACACCCTACAGCAGAAGACACTAGAACAGAAATTTCTTACGAAAATGTACAGGTCATAAGTAATCCTGGGAAAGGGTACACATTGCCGGTGATATACAAGTCCCTAGAGGCATGTACTTCCCGGGGTTATTGTTCATCCACTATACCAGCAGGCTGTGTTCTGCCAGTGGGTGGTCATTTCGAGATCTTGTTGCATTGCTGTCTTCTCAACTATGCCAAGCAGTGTCGGCAATCAGCTGAAGCCACGGTTGGTACGTTGATAGCTAATGCACTTTTAGGCATCCCTAAAATCCTTTGCAAGCCTCAGAAGGGAAAGGTCAGCTTTTCACACACATACCTACGCTCTCTCCACGCACTGCAAACCGGTCAACCCGTGGTAAGTGGCCAGTCAGGACTGGAGCCAGTAGCTGGGAAGTACCAGTTACTAACTTCAGTTCTTCAGTGTTTGGTGAAAATACTAACCATTGATTTAATAATCAATATTAAGAGACAACCTCATAAAACTAGTGACGAAGATTCAGAAGATGAACTTTAACACTCCAAGTTTTTTTGTTGCTCAAACTTTGAATCGGGAGCCAGGGAGAAGGCAAACTCGAGGACCTGTGGTTAATAATGCCCAGGGCCCACTGGCTGGAAGGAGAGGAGTGTTAGGAAAAAAATTTATTCAACTCAAACTAAAAATTAAAACAGACTTCTGGCTGACTTTCAAGTCAATCCAATCATTAAATACATTGACTCTCAGACCATTCACATACAAATATCGGTTCTAGGGAACAAAACCTGGCTAAAAATGTCTCTCTCCTGTTATATACCTGTCTCAGGTCTGTGTTAGCCTGTGTCTAAGGGAGTGTGTCTCTAATTTCCCTTTGCTGTATTTTTTCCACTTCATTTCCTTAAACTTTCTGTATTTCATGTCCTCTCCCGGTTTGAAAGAGGCCATGAAATGCCATCTCACGTTGTTCCTAACCATGATATAAAATGTGTTTGTTTGTTTGTTTGTTTGTTTGTTTTTAATTTACTTATTTATTTATTTATAAAAATTTCCACTTTCTCCCCTCCTCCCAATACCCTCCCATTCCCCCCACTCCCTCCCCCCTCCCTCTGGGTCTAGGAAGGTGAGCATCCAAACAGACTAGGATCCCAAAAAGCCAGTACGTGCAGACGAAACAAGACCCAGTGCCATTGTCAATGGCTTCTCAGTCAGCCCCCATGTCAGCCACATTCAGAGAATCCGGTTTGATCACATGCTCGTTCAGTCCTAGTCCAGCTGGCCTTGGTGAGCTCTCATTCAATCAGTCCCCATGTATCAGTAGAAAATGTGTTTTATTTAAAATAGTTTTTCTGTGGGAAAAAAATTTGTAAAGCAGTAAATAAAAGTCCAAGTTTCTCTGAAAGCATTTGTGTGTCATTTAGTTTATTTCTGTTGAAAAGAGTTGGGGCTGGGAAGATGGTTCAGTGGATAACGCATTTGCCACCTGAGCCTGGCACCCTGAGTTTGAGGGGGGAACCAGTTCCACAGAGCTGCCCTCCAGGCTCCACATGTACACTGTGGCACTTTGCATGCACACGAGAAGAGTCAAGTTTCCAAATCTGCACCTTTGATTTATCTGTTCAAAAATGACAACGTTGCGAATTCACCTTTCATAACTGGAAGTTAATGCCAGGAAAGATGGGAAACAGGAAACTTGTATTCTTCCTCTTCTCCTGGCTCCTAAACTTCTGGTAAGGATTTAGTGCAGTTGCATTAAACTAGTATTTTTTAGTTTTGATGTATTGTCAGGATTCAATAGCAACCAATAGTTTGACAGTTATTTCTAGTGTGAATTGACAAGCATTTGCATGTCACTTTAAGAGCTTCTAGGTACAAACAGCAGTTCCGTGCATCTAGTCATGAATAAGAACAGTGTCTTCTACTTTCAGTAATTCCCTGTAACACCCAAAACTGTGTTTTGTTTACACCAAGTGTTTAAATGTGCGCGTGAAGTAACAGAGTGTTATCAAACCCATTCCCCAATACATGTTTCTAGTTTATTCAGTCAGCAGAGCCTCACTGTGCAAATCCTAGGTTAGATGCTGGCTCTACTCTACTGTCATGAACTTTCTTCAGAGGTTAATGAATAGATGAACATTGGCTTGTGGTTGGATTTAGGGAAAGTAAGACAGAAACACCTTTACATTTGAGAACTTTCTGACCAGTAATGTGTTTGTAAACTACTGGGCTGGAAAGACAGCTCTGGGAAAAGGGTCTGCTGCACAGGCCTGAGGAACCTGCGTCTGGATCCCCAACACCTACCTAAAAGCCAGACTTGGCAGCACGCTTCTAATTCCACAGCTTGGGACTGCGGGGAGTAGAGACAGAGATTCCTGGAGCTTGCCTGCCAGCCAGTCCAGCCAGTTGGTGAGCTCCAGATTCAGTGAGACTCAAAATAACTGGAAAGCAATAGAGGAAATTCATTCTAAATCCCCCCCCCCCCCGACACACACACTGCCGCCATGTGCATTTGCACCTGAACACGTGTCTTTGTCTGTATATGTCATGTACCACACAAACCCATAATATCTCCATGCAGTCCCGTGATTACACTCTCTTAAACATTTATGCAATATGATCCATTTCATTTTTGTTGAAATAGGGAGAATGATCCCTTACGGCATTCATAGCTGAATGGACCTACATTAAACTGCTGTATAAATTTTCTGTTGATTTTTAATTGCCTGTCGGGTAATTTTGCTTCATTTTGTCTTTTGTTGTCTTCAGTCTTTAAAGGCACTTCAAGATTTGCAGATGGGCCAGTGGTTTGTATTGATTGTCTTTAAGGTGTCAAATGTCAGTAGTTTGACTACTGTAAGCTAGAGTTTGTCTTTGAAAGGTTGGTACCTAGTGTCCCAGTCTGCATAAAGTGACTCTTCAGAAAGAGAGTAAGTGGGTGTGCATGCTCTCTCCCTCTTCCTCTTCCTCTCTCTCCCTCTCCCTCTCTCTCTCTCTCTCTCTCTCTCTCTCTCTCTCTCTCTCTCACTCTCACACATACACACACAGACACACACATGCACGCACACACACATGCACACACACATGTATATGTGTATATGCAATGTTTTATTAATTCTTTAAGAGTTTCTTTATGAAATCCTCCCAACTCATCCTTATGACTCTTCCTTGGCCCACCCCCTTCTCTCCACCCCTACAATCTTGTGTCCCTCTCCCTCTTTCTTCCCTCCCCTCCCCTCTCTCTCACTGCAGATCTCCTGTCCTCTGGCTCTCACAATCTCTCGGTTCCCTCTTTCTGTCATGCTCCCTGAGCCTCAACTGTAGGAGCTGTGTTGTAATGTATTAATTCAGGCCAGGCACCCCACAGTCAGCAGCTCTCTGCCTTTTGACCAGTTGGGACTTTCTGAAATGGCCTCCATTTGCCACAAAAAGAAATGTCTTTGATGAAGAATGAGAGCCACACTGTGGGAATAGGGGCAAGTAGTCAGAAACTACACTGCTTTAGGAAAGTTGCCGTATCAGATTCTCCTCCAGGGGTCTGTGACCACCCCAGTCATGGGCGTTGGCTAAGTTTACAGTACTGCATATGAATTCCCTACCACTGAGCAAACCTTAAGTCCAATAAGGTGGTTGCTTGGTGTAGGAGGTCCTTCTGTTTATGTGTTGCTTTTCATTGGCTAATCAATAAAGAAACTGCTTGGCCTGGTAGGGCAGAACTTACGTAGGTGGAGAAGACAGAACTGAATTCTGGGAGGAAGAAAGCAGAGTCAGGGAGATGCCATGGATTCACAGCCGGAGGTAGATGTGCTGAAACTTTTCTGGTAGGCCACCACCTAGTGGTGATACATAGATTGACAGAAATGGGTTAAACTAAAATGTAAGGGTTAGTCAATAAGAAGTTAGAGCTAATGGGCCAGGCAGTGTTCAAATTAATACAGTTTCTATGTGATTATTTCGGGTGTAAGCTAGCCAGGCGGCCAAGAAAAAAGCAAATGGACCCTCTTTCCATCGACAGTTGCTGGTTACCCCAGGGATGTAAATGCTACTGATGCACTCTTAGGAGTAGCTTGCTGTGTTGGTGATTGTTGTGGTTTGTAGGCCTTACAAACTGTCACCCATATAGATGCCCATGTGAGTGTGTATGTTGCATTGTGTGTGTTGTGTGTGCATGCATCTTAGGATGTTCATCAGATGTGGGGATCAAACAGGATGTGACATCAGGAAATAATTGACATTGTCTATGATCATAGGTGATAGTGAATTGGCATTGTTGTAAGGGGAAATAGTGTAATAATTGCAGTCACTGGCACCCGCCCCTCACCGTTTATTCTTTATTACCATGCCACACAATGGCAGTCCTGTGTATCATTGGATGCCCACCTCACTCCGTTTAAACAGTCTTGGCCACTTAGGCACTCCACCCCAGTTCCATTCAGCCTGAGATCTGAGAAACATGATCATCTGCTCACAGACTTGTAGCCTAATGTCCCTAATATTTAGAGACTATCAAGGACACAACTCTAAATGGTTCCAGAACTGACAACTCCATGGGGAATTAAATGTCTTTGGCTCTCTTGGGCATCTCCACACACATGCATATACCCACACATAGACACATAATCTAAAAAGTCTTTCTTTAAAAAAATCATGTTAAAGATGCAGAGATGGTGTAAATCTTGTGAAAACAGTAAATCTGGAGGCCTTCGTGGGGGCCATAGCTGTTTCTGATACTTCATTAGATCCAAGAGTTCACACAGGTTAAGTCACCTGGTGATGGGCTCCCTCACTGTCTGCATGATGAGAAAAAACAAGGACGGAGTTGACAGTAAAAGTGTGAAAGACAGAAAGAAAGAAGGAAGGAAGGAAGGAAAGAAGGAAAAAAGAAAGGGAAGGAAGGCAACAAAGACAAAGAAACTGGTCAAAGAGGTGTCAGAAGAAAGAGAACCTTGAACAGGTGGCCATGTATCAGACTGTTGCTTGGTGTCCATCTGGACATAGAGTAAAAGAACAAGAACATGATCATGTTCTCTTTTTCATTCTAACAATGAATGAATTTCATTCTAACACACATGGACCATATGTGTAATTTACTGGGTATTTACCATGGGTTTGGATCCAGGCTAAAGCCTTTTCAGTATAATGACTCATTTAACCTTCAGAGTTACCCTACCTTGGACTGGAGAGATGCACGGTGGTTAAGAGCATTTGCCGTTCTTGCATAGGACCCGAGTCCAGGTCCCAGCACCTACCTGCAGTGGCTCAAAACAGCCTATAACTCCAGCTCCTGGAGCTCCAACAGTCCTCTTCCGGCCTCTGAGATCTCCTGTCCTCAGATACACACACACATACACATTTTTAAAATAAAAATAAAATCTTAAAATAATGACCCCACCTTGACTCTCAAGATGCCCACCTTATGAAGAAGAGCCTGGCAGGGAGGTAATCTTCCCAAAGTCATTTGTGCAAAGCAATCTGGCGTGTGTCCTGCACCTAAGGCATCACTAAGACAGCCAGGAATATAATAAATAGATAGTACTTTAGGGTTCCATCATTTAGAAACGGTCTTGCATAATCATGCTTTGTTTCAGTTTAACTTAGTATATAATTTAATTGATATTTCAACAAGTAATTTTCATTTCAATCAAGATGTCAACTTCTTGTCAGTTTTACAAGAAAGTAATGATGTCAGGGCCAGTGAGATGTCTCAGAGGGCAAAGAGACATGCCACAGTAGTTAATAGCATGAGTCAGGTCCCCAGAACCTATGTGGTGGAAGGCCAGTGCTCTGATCTCCACATGTATACTGTGTCACTTGAGTGTCCACCCAGCCCCAACCCCCACACACAATAAGTAGAATAGCAAGCCAACAGAGGCAGAAACCTAATGTGGTTCTCAGAAGAAGCTCAGAAGGTTGTTGCTCTTCATACAGGGAGACATGTCAACTCCAGTGTGTCATTTTTGTGGGTTGCACCTGCTGTAGTGAGTTTGGGTTCTATTGGTTTGCAGAAAAGAGACCTGGAGAGCCCTGGTATTTGGTTTTCAATTAACTCCAATCTGCTTGCAGAGACGCAGAAAAAA